GATCAGATCATTCCCAAACATATTGGCAGTTCTACTTACCCTCAAATGAATGTAAGATGTCTACAGCACCTTTCTTTTGTTAAGACATGCTTTTGTAGTCAATACATGAGCAAAGATCCCACAATTTCAACATTTTAGTACAATTTGCGCCATTTTTACTTTTTGCCTGACGTCTTGAGGACTGATTTGTGATCCCTTTCACATATATACTATTTGGGTGGTTGTAGGGTTTTTGGTTTTGTTTTTTTTTGGGCTATATGGCCATGTTCTAGAGGCATTCTTTCCTGACATTTCACCTGCATCTATTACAACAATCTTCAGAGGTAGTGAGGTCTGTTGGAACTAGGAGAATTGGGTTTTTATACCTGTGGAATGATCAGAGTGGGACAAAGTACTCTTGTCTGTTGGAGCTAGGTGTGAACAGACAAGCTCCAGCAGTCAAGAGTTCTTTGTCCCACCCTGGTCATTAAACAGATATATAAACCCAATTTTCCTAGTTCCAACAGACCTCGCTACCTCTGAGATGCTTGCCATAGATGCAGGCAAAACGCCAGGAGAGAATGCCTCTAGAACATGGCCATATAGCCTGAAAAAACCTACAACAACCCAGTGATTCCGGCCATGAAAGCCTTCGACAATACATATATACTATTTGATTCTCTGATACAGTGACAGAGATTAAGAATGTGGTAGGCTACGTGTATATTGATTATTTACTTACAGTTGCATGACCAGGTATAAGTGGTTTGGACTCTCATAGATATCTTCCAGTGCAACAATATTTTCATGTTTGATCCTGAATAATAGATACAAAAAAGAAATACCAGGGGTAAGTTAAGTGTCCAATGGAAATCCATTCATATAAAAACAATGTGAACCATTCAGAATATTTGCAATTTCATAATAATTCAACACTTGCTGTAGTAAGAGGTGCACATCGGAAGTAGGTAATGTTGGTAAATGCATCTAGTTCTGCTAAAATGTCTTCATATATTGGATTTGCTTTTCCACACACAGTAATGAGCAAAGTCTGGTCAGATCACCCAATGCAATTATATATTGGGCCTAATGGTAGGCAGGGCTACAACTAAGTGGTTTGATGATTCACTTAAATCATTTGGAACCTTGACTATTTGAAACCTCAACTTTTCATAAATAACAAGGCATTTATTTTTCAAACACCAAAGAAAATGGAAGGAGCATGATGTAGCCATGTATAAGTCAACCAAAATGCATGAATTTTGATATGACCTGACCTAAGGGAGCCATCTGACCTTCACCACTGTTGCTATTTTCCTGTCCAAGCTTTCCAAAAGTCCAGAAACAGTGTGGCAGCAAAGAGAATAGATGGGGGGGGGGGGGGGGTTGTATGGTCCTTTTTGGTTCTCCCACATGGATTAAGTCATCACAATTCACTGTCCTACGCAAGAGAAGATGGTTCCTTTTTTCATAAGAGTTAATGTACAGTTTACCCATTAATATATCAACCTAGGGGTTTTTTTTTCAATTTTTTCACTAAAATTTCTAGACTTATGCATGAGGATTTCCAATATTTTTATCATCAGAAATCAAGTGTACGTTGGACAGTATGTGTGTGCCTTCAAGTCAACTTATGGTGACACCATGTATTTCATAGGGTTTTCTTATGCAAGAAATGTTCAGAAACAATTTTGCTAGTTCCTTCCTTGGAATTATAGCTTATGCTATGGCACCAGCTATTTATTGGCTGCTTCCGATCCAAGGACCAACAAGAGCTAGTTTCAGACTTAACCATGAAAGCACACACTTTAGCTATACGAACCCACACGATCTCTTCATTCATCTGGAGAGGCCCTGCTCTCGATCCCACCAGCATCGCAGGCACGATTGGTGGGGATGAGAGAGAGGGCCTTTTCGGTGGTGGCCCCTCGACTCTGGAACTCACTCCCTAAAGACATCAGAGAGGCCCCAACTCTGGCAGTCTTCAGGAGGAGCTTGAAGACGTGGCTGTTCCAGTGTGCCTTCCGGAATAATGATCCCATAGCACTTTGTTCTTCCAAAGCACTTTATACTTTTAGGTCTGCTCGTATGTCTTCCACAAACGCCACTATCACCTTTTTGTCCATGCCTCAGCACTATTCCAGTCATGCCAGCCACATGACCTTGGAGGTGTCTACAGACAACGCTGGCTCTTTGACTTAGAAATGGAGAAGATTTCATCTCGCTTTCTGTTCCCGTGATCATTGGATTTTGAAAAATGTGGCTTGTTGTGGAAACAAGGATTGGCGATGCAGCTTCAACAGAGACATGATAGCTCTTTCAAGAGAACATTTCCTTTCCTAGGGGTAGATTTCTCTCACTTCCAGTTATCACACCATTGTTCTTAACTATGAGTCATTTGTAAATTGGATGTTTGTTTGCTTATTTATTTATTTATTTATTTATTTATTTATTTACAGTATTCATATTCCGCCCTTCTCACCCTGCAGGGAACTCAGGGCAGATTACAATGTACAATGTACATATACATGGCAAACACTCAATGCCATAGATACACAACATATATAGGCAGACATAGAGGCAATTTAACATTCCAGCTTTTCTTAAGGGTATTCTGGCCACAAGGGGAGCTGTGCCTTCACTGACCATTTCTGACACTGATGACGTACTTCCTCATTCTTTGCATGCTTGCTGGAGATTTTTATGGCCTCGTAAATTAGTTAAATTTGCTTCCCCACATAAGCGGTACCTAAATTTCCTACTTGACAGATGCAACTGTCTTTCGGGCTGCAAAGGTCGCCCGCAAGCTACACAAAATTGGTCGGAAGCTCACTCCGACTCGGGCTGGCTTCGAACTCATTACCTTTCGTTCAGTAGTGATCTTCATGCAGCTGACTCCTAGCCAGCTGTGCTACAGTCCCAGTGTAACTCAGGAACTGCCTATATTTTCATAGAATTATAGAACCGTGTTGTGAAAATCTTTGCTACCATAGTTAACAGGAGACAGCAATGTAGCTGAGGTCCAAAACAGATTGGATGAATTTCACAGAATATGGGGGTGTGAAAAATGAATTTATCAGTAGGTGGGAATAATATGATACTCTAGAGTCACACATTAGAACCTAAAGAGCCAGTGTGGCAAATATGTTTGAGTGCTGGACTACGACTCTGGAGACCACTGTTTAATTCCTCACTTGTCAATGGAAATCCACCGGGTTACCTTGGGCAAGTCACACACTTTTCAGCCTCAGAGAACACTGTGATACTGGGTTATGCATCTTCATGACTGCTGCTGCGGTAAGGGTGACCGTCCAGCGTGGCTAAACTTGGTTTGGTCCAACTTGTTCAGGACTCCGCTCCAATTACTGCTTCAGTTTGTAAATACCACAGCAGAATTCACAGCAGATTCACAGTGAGTTTAAGTCCCCCGGGCCAGATCAACTTACACCCAAGAGTATTGAAGGAACTAGCGGAAGTCATCTCGGAACCACTGGCAATCATCTTTGAGAGTTCTTGGAGAACGGGAGAAGTTCCAGCAGATTGGAGGAGGGCCAATGTGGTCCCAATCTTCAAGAAGGAAAAAAGGATGACCCAAACAATTACCGTCCAGTCAGCCTCACGTCAATACCAGGCAAGATTCTGGAAAAGGTTAAGGAAGTGGTCTGCAAACACTTAGAAACAAATGCGGTCATTGCTAATAGTCAACATGGATTTATCAAAAACAAGTCATGCCAGACTAATCTGATCTCTTTTCGATAGAGTTACAAGCTGGGTAGATGCGGGGAATGCCGTGGATGTAGCATACCTGGATTTCAGTAAGGCCTTCGACAAGGTCCCCCATGACCTGGCAAACAAACTAGTCCAATGTGGGCTAGGCAAAACTACGGTGAGGTGGATCTGTAATTGGTTAAGTGGACAAACCCAGAGGGCGCTCACTAATGCTTCCTCTTCATCTTGGAAAGAAGTGACGAGCGGAGTGCCGGAGGGTTCTGAAGGGCTAGAAGGCAGGATCATCAAGTCTGCAGATGACACCAAATTGGGAGGGATAGCCAATATTCCAGAGGACAGGAGCAGAATTCAAAATGATCTTAATAGATTAGAGAGACAAAGGACAGGAGCAGAATTCAAAACGATCTTGACAGATTAGAGAGATGAGCCAAAACTAACAAAATGAAGTTCAACAGTGACAAATGCAAGATACTCCACTTAGGCAGAAAAAACAAAATGCAAAGAGACAGAATGGGGGACCATGCCTGGCTCGAGAGCAGTACGTGTGAAAAAGATCTTGGAGTCCTCGTGGACAACAAGTTAAACATGAGCCAACAATGTGATGTGGCGGCAAAAAAAGCCAATGGGATTTTGGCCTGCATCAATAGGAGTGTCTAGATCTAGGGAAGTAATGCTACCCCTCTATTCCGCCTTGGTTAGACCACACGAATATTGTGTCCAATTCTGGGCACCACAATTGAAGAGAGATATTAACAAGCTGGAATGTGTCCAGAGAAGGACTAAAATGATCAAGGGTCTGGAGAACAAGCCCTATGAGGAGTGGCTTAAAGAGCTGGGCATGTTTAGCCTGAAGAAGAGAAGGCTGAGAGGAGACATTGATAGCCATGTATAAATATGTGAGAGGAAGTCATAGGGAGGAGGGAGCAAGCTTGTTTTCTGCTTCCCTGGAGACTAGGACACGAAACAATGGCTTCAAACTACAAGAAAGGAGATTCCATCTGAACATAGAATCATAGAATCAAAGAGTTGGAAGAGACCTCATGGGCCATCCAGTCCAACCCCATTCTGCCAAGAAGCAGGAATATTGCATTCAAATCACCCCTGACAGATGGCCATCCAGCCTCTGTTTAAAAGCTTCCAAAGAAGGAGCCTCCACCACACTCCGGGGCAGAGAGTTCCACTGCTGAACGGCTCTCACAGTCAGGAAGTTCTTCCTCATGTTCAGATGGAATCTCCTTTCTTGTAGTTTGAAGCCATTGTTCCGTGTCCTAGTCTCCAAGGAAGCAGAAAACAAACTTTCTGACTGTGAGAGCCGTTCAGCAGTGGAACTCTCTGCCCCGGAGTGTGTGGAGGCTCCTTCTTTGGAAGCTTTTAAACAGAGGCTGGATGGCCATCTGTCAGGGGTGCTTTGAATGCAATATTCCTGCTTCTTGGCAAGAGGGTTGGACTGGATGGCCCATGAGGTCTCTTCCAACTCTAAGATTCTATGATTCTATGACCCGGGATTTTGGGGCCCTGGTCTCCACCTATCAGTTCCCATATGTTATTTTTATAAACATGGGCTAACTTTCCTTTGCAACATGCAAATGTGTGTGAAGGAAATTAAACCCATTTAAAATTATCATTTAAATGAAGTACCAAATGCTTGTTTTAGTGCAAACTTTATATTTCAACAGCTGGAACAAACACAGTGCTAAACCACCACTGGCACAGATACAGAGGGCTCGGAGTTCTTGCTGTTTAGGTTATGACTTTCAGAAAAAGAAACATACAAACCACCATCTAATTAGCTCCTCAAAGGCAAACCCTCTCAGGGATTATTACTTAAAGTGGTTCTAAACAATTTCCAGTGTGCATAATTAATTTTCATTATCCCCCGCCCCCAAATGAGGAATCATTTAGCTGTAAGGAATAGAATATTAATTAAGACAAACAAGAGATATTGCCTCAAAGAGGGAAGGGATGTTTAAGGAAATGTAAGAAATCAGCAAGAATCCATAGTGGAGAGGAGGGTGTGGGGAGGATCAGTGAATAGGAAATTCCAAGGCAAATATTCTTGATCATTGCAAATACAAAAAATTAGGATAG